TAGTTTAATTATATCCAAATTATAGGGAACTGTTGATTGTTGGTTACCAAAAATAAAATATAAATCAAAGATGGATAATCAGGAAGTACGAAATAAACAACTTATGAAAGAAAATAAACGATTATTACGAAAAATTCGTGGAGCAAGTAGTAATTATCCTACTGCAGAGTTTATACAAAGTTGGAAAGAACTGAAAATGAAAATACAACTCAAAAGGCAAATCATTATTCTTTAAATATTTTATGGCTATATATTTTCATATCCAAAATGTGCAAAATGATTTCAATATTAATTTCATTTAAATCATATTTACTATAAAATTTTAGTTATGTTATTCTTTTACAATTTTAAGTTCAAAGAACATTAGTTTTTTTTTTATTTTTATCTTCCTGTAATTTTAATAAAATCATTTGTAGTAGTAGTAGTTGTGTGTGTGTGTGCACATACATCTTAAAAATTTTTCTTTATTATGCTCTTATAATAATATAATTAAAGAAAAAATAACATCTAAAGATATAATAATAAAATGTAAATAAATAAACCATATTATAATTTTATGTGAATTTTATAATAATACTATAGATATCTATACATATATCTATACATATATCTTACAATAATACTACAACATTAATGTATTTTACAATAATACTACAGATATCAGGAAGAACTTACAATACATACCATTGGATTAGAATCACATCAAGATCATTGCATGATTAGAGATTTATCATTACTAAAAGATATGAATCCATCTATCCGAACCAAATGTTTTTTTGAAATTGAAATTCAGGGAGATCAGAAATTAGGATCTATTCAGTTTGAACTTTATGATGATGTTGTACCCCGGACATGTGCAAATTTTGCGGAATTGTGTCATGGATATAATAGTTTGTCTTTCAAGTAAATATTTTGGAAGCATTGATTATATTATTTAAATTTAATATAAAATTTTTCATATTATTTTTGTACTTTAATATTAATAGCTTTAACGATTACTTTGTACCATATCATCAAGACAAATCATAAAAAAATATTTTTTAAAGAAAAATATTTTTTAAGAATAAATAAAGTTGTATCTTAAGTACAAATGAAAGAAAGAAACTAATATATAATTCGAAAGAAGGAAACTAATATATAGAGAAAGATATTAAGGAAGATACTATTCATATACAAATTTAATAAACGAAAATAACATAACATATTTCTAATAGAAACACACCATTTCATCGAATTGTATCTGGTTATTGGTGTCAAGGTGGAGATGTTACAAAGTTTGACGGAAGTGGAGGAAGATCCATATATGGTGAATCATTTAAGCATGAGAATTATAATTTACGTCATGCTGGCCCTGGAATTTTGTCCATGTGTAATGAAACTGAAAATACAAGCAATTCCAAATTTAATCTTACTTTTAGAAAATTGGAAACAGTAAATAGAAAGAATGTAGTTTTTGGAAAAGTTATTGCAGGTCTCTCAAATATTTATAAGGTAAATTTATTTCAATTATATTAAGCATCTTTTTATTTCTAAATTTCTTTACATATAAAAAATATTTATTACTCATATAATTATTTTTTGTACAATAAAACTCAAAAAAGAACTGTTATTTTCTCTTAAATTTTCTGATATCTAATGTTTATTAGATTGAAGAATTTGGTACAAAAACAGGAAAACCATTTAAAACAATAATTATATCCAATTGTGGTATTCTATCAAGACATAAATAGAAAAAGATTAAGTAAGACATAAAAAATTCATTTAATTGTTAAGATGCAGAATATTTTAATGATATGTTATAAATAGTATTATTTTGTTTTACATAGAAAAGTGTAACTATATTAATTATATCGATTATTATTCTTATTTAATTAATTCATAATTTATTCAAATGTTTTCTATAAAAATACCGATTATAAAATATCCTAATATTTATAATTCTAGAAATATTAAATATGAAAAATATTTTTAAAACGAAAATTTATTTTAACATTACTATTGAGATGAATAAACACAAATGATGTAAATATCTTTTTCATTTAGTTTATATATAATAAAATCGAGTTTACATGTAATGTGTTTTATAAAATTTGAGTATTATTAATAGTGATTTAAGTATCTTTTTAATATACAAAATATATTTTCAAATATAAATGTAGTTATTCAATTTATTCACAACAAAACATTTTAAAATTCATATACATATATAATAATTTATATAGACATATTAAAATAGTTATTATGATCAATACAGAGTATAAATATAATTATTTAATATAATGTTATCAATTAAAACATAGTATAACGTTATAATAACATAAACGTCAATAACATAAACTTTCATTAATAATATTAGAAGATATTTCCAAATAACCATAGGCTGATATATGTTTAAACTGGTATTCTTTTAGGGTTTAAATCATACATTCGACGCATACGTTTTTTCAATTCTTGTGGGAATTTATCATAACACTTTTTACAAGCTGGTTTTAAATCAAATTCAAAAAACTTCGTTTTTTGATTCATTTTTTGATCGCAAAATGCACATGCGAAATGATGAACACACCATGCTTTATTCAAAGCTGTAAAAACTGGAAAATTCAAAATATATCATATATTCATTTCCTTTTTGTTTGTTACATTATAATTTTTCAATATTTTCAATTTAGAAAATTAAAATAAAATTTATATAATAATATAATATACTAACCATCGCCAGAAATTACTTGATTACATACAAAACACAAATTACCAAAAAGTTGATGGTAGTGTGTTTCACAATAAGCTAAACCTTTCTTTTCATAATGTCGATGACCTAAAAATGGTTTTTCACATTTTGCACAAACAAAATGTTCAACATGCCAATGTTTACCTAAGGCAGTTACTACTCGTTCTTCAATGGGACGTCGACATGCACCACAAATTGGAATTCCCATTTTATCATGACATCTCAAACAATATAGCTCATTCTAAAAATGCAAATAATAAAAATGTGACTTATTAATATACTATTAAAGATAATAATAATTCAAGATAATACAATTATAAATACATACCATTTCATTAGCAGCATATCCTGGTCTAGAATTAACTTCTCTAGCATCTGAATTAAGTTCTATACCACAAGCAGTACAATTAAAATGATATGGATGATAGAGTTCTCCACGAAAACGAAGAGGTTTGTCATCAATTACACCGCTAAAAATTATATATTACAGACACAGTATTTGATAATATAACAATTTTAAAGATCAAAATATGCATAATATTAAAATTTATTTATATAAATAGAATTAAAATTCATACTGGCATTGATGACAAATATATTTTCCAAGAACCCCAGCCTTAACACGTGCATTACATGTATGGCATAAAGCTCTACCCTGACATTTAATGAATCCTGCATCAGCTAATTCACCATTACATTCTTCACAACGAAAACATCCTGGATGCCAATTAGCATTCATTGCTTTTATTACACGACCAATAACAAATTCTCCTATAAATAAAAAAATATAAATTTTTTTTTAATCTAAATATTTGCCATATTGTAATATTATAAATAAGTAAAATAACATACCACATTTTTCACAGCAAGGTGCAAATAAGACATGAAAATCATGTTCGCAATATTTATATCCTTCAAATTCATAAAATATTCCATCTGGGAATGGGCGGAAGCATTGTGCACATCTAATAAAAAAACTTTTATTACAATTGTTTATAATATATAAATTATTATATTTAAATCTTAAATATTTTCATTTACTACAGAACTACATTATCTTCCGAAGCAAGATATCTAATTAATCTAATTTTCAAATTAAATTAATGTAATAAATTTTAATAATAATAATAAAATATTCTTACACAAAACACTGTGGATGCCATAATTCTCCATTTGAATTAACAATTTTTTCATGAGGTACAAAACCTTCTCTACATCGAGAACAAAACATATTATCCAAAGACATCTCTGTAACACTTTTTAAATAAGCATAATTTGAAGCTTCATTTAAATCCAATTTAAAAATGAAAAATCTAATGTACATTAAAGATAACTAATGTGTGTAAACATGCATTAGATGTTGAGGAAAAATTGTAAAATATACAAAAACTGAAAAATTTATTTTCAAAATATTATCATTATTAAATTTTTAATAGTTTTATATAATTATACATTATATAGTTTTACATAACAAATATATATTCTTTATATATTCTTAATTAGATAATATAAAAATAATTTATTTTTTCATATAATAAATAATTATACAATATATAATAAATAATTTATTAATTATATATATAATTTATTTTTTCCATATCACTACACAAAAATAACTTTTCTCTTGTAAACATGAAATTACATAAATATTAGCATTTATATTTTATAATAACGGATTTAAAGTTATATACCTGGCAATTAATTTTGCTGATGGAAGATACTCTACACTATGTTTGAATGAAAAGAAATAATAGATGCTTACCCTGGCATTTTTTAATGATAAAGAAGAGCTAATTTATTAACTGTAGTTATTTGTTATCTTTTAATTGAAAAGAAACATTAATGTTATATTACAGATATTAAAAAATACCTAGTATCCTTCTAGACTTAATTAAATAACTCTTATATATGTCATTAATATTATCAACACTTTCCGAGACGAAACTTTATGCAGAAAATACACAAAGTATTATTGATACGATATTTTACATCACATCCTTCGTTTTATATTTAGAATAAAAATTACGTCATCAAACCATGCACCACTTTTTTTTGTAATAACCATTACAACTGCAGTAACCAATCAGACGTGAGAAATGTGGACTTGCCTTTTCTGAAGTGTTATTTCAAACAATAAAGTAGAATTGCATAGATGTGAAACTTTAAATACCAACAACTTTAATATTGATCGAAACTTCAATAAATATAATGTCTTTACATATGTGTATTCTAATACCTTTTTCTGTTTGCAATTTAAAAGAGAATGAAAGATTCTTGATTTTATTAAAAAGACAGCTATAAATATATAATTTATAAAAATATATTGTTATTAACTATTCAATTTATCAATGAGTAGTACTAAAATTTTTAAAATGCTTTTAAAAAACAAATAATCAAAACTATCTATATAAAAAAATTACAGGGAAATGTAAAATAAAGTAGACATTACTTCAAATTTTTAACATCGTGAAGGATTTTAAATGTATATATGTCTAATTACATACGCTATAGTTGTTTATAGTTAATTGTATCACAATATATAATTGTAACATTTACACATAAAAATTGCTTAAATATCTGATATAATATTTAAAATTCTTTCTAGTAACTATGAAGATTATTTGGAGTACAATTTAATATTTATTTTTGAACTATGAAAATAGTAGTATTAATATGCAATATAATTTTTAACATCTTAATTTATAAGAATTGTTTAATTTTGAAATAGTACATTGAAATTGTTTAATTTGGTGATATGGCGCTGTAATCAGCTTAACTAATCGATTGGAAGATACTGGTAAGATAGGGTCGACACTCTGCTGCTTTCCTACGAATTGTTTGTGCCGTGAGAAAACGTTCGTCTTCAACGAAATATTAATCGTTTAATTCGAAAAATGGCATGGTTATGTAGTCGTACTGTTTTACAGACATGTCGACGCCAATTTTTTCGCAATGCTGTGTATTCGAAAAATAAAAGTAATATCATTTTTCAAGTGATATCAGGGTTATTTAAATATTTTTGCGTTGTTACGTAATATAAAAATATAATTTGTTAATTTTGGGTAATTTTCGTCTTGCATCGAGTGCAGAATTCAATATTTTCTAATGAAAATTTTATTTTAGCTTTTCCCGATCCATTGGACCTTGCTACGGGTTTGGAGAAACGTGAATTACTTGCCGCTGCCGCTGGCAATTTCGTAAGTTACTTTGCATGATATTCTGAGTTTTTATCTTTAACGCTAATGAAATAATATATAAATTTTCAAATTTAATAAGATATTTTATAGCAGCAAATTTATAAAGTAAATAAACTCTGTGTCATTTGTAAACTATAATTATTTCTTGAACTTCATCTACTTCTTGAAATTACTGAACTTAAAAATTTAATTAAAATTAATAGACATAGTAAAGTTGAAATTTGTAAGAAAAAAATCTATGTAAAATACTTTTCAATCAGGTTACACCTAAAAAATATAAATTGGAGCAAAGAAACTTATCCATGTTATAATCCAACATAATCAAATATTTTTGCATTTTCTGAATTTATTTGTGACATCATGGTTTTTGGATGAAATTATAAATTATTTTCCTATTAATATTTTAATTAATTGTTCATAATTTATCATTTCAGGATCCTTATCATATGAAGGCTATAGAAATAGTGCGTGACAGTACAAGAGAAAGTCCAAATTTAGTACCAAGTGCATTCAAAAGTCGTATTGTTGGTTGCATATGTGAGGAAGATACTGCACATGTGAATTGGATGTGGTTGCATGACGGACAGCCACGCCGTTGTGAATGTGGTCATTGGTTTAAATTGACTGAAGTTGCTCCTCTAGGATAAGACTTTAATTTAATGTCACTTCTTGTTAATTAGTCATTTGTTTAAAATATAGAATTAATGTCATATTTTGTTTTTTATTTATTACCCATATCTTATCTTCATTTTCTTATATATCCTTTGATTTAAAATAAATTATTGTTAATGAATAAAATAAACGAATTATTATTAATTATTCTAAGAGT